TGTTTGGGTTTTTTGGTTTGTGGTTTGGTGTGGTTTTGTTTTTTTTTACCATAGGAACTATTTTTCCACAATTACCAATACATGGCTGCAGCAAACTGCTCTAAAACTTCTATGAAGTTTTCTGCCAGTCATACTGTCCATGAAGCCTCCTTACCTTTTTTCCCAAATCTATCATCCATCCAGAAGCTTCAGTAAAGATATTTAATTTTGCATAAAGCTCTGAAGATCAGACAATCTGGCCTCAATGTGAAACTCATTCTTACCATGTTAAGAAGTGAGTTTAGACTCAGATTTTTGTTTCATTTTTGTCTCCTTTTTAAAGCGGGGGGGGCACAGGAGATATCACTCCAAGCATTTTAAGACTGGATTTTTTAAGGAAGTTTTTAATCACATTTAACTGCGTTTAATTGAATGCTATCTTAGCCTGTTTACAATATACCTTTTTCAAGTTTGTAACTCCTCTTAGTAAGAAAAAACAATCTTTTAGGATACGGTAAGCAGTTTCATGGAATATAGAAGATCTTGTCTAATTGGGAAACGCCTAATTCCTCATACATAAGCTAAGAAAAAATGGATACTACTTCTGTGCCATTTCCATAGCAAGCTGTCTTGAAGGGTTAGTAGTAAATATGAATATAGGTCTGAATTTTAAGAAAAAAAGCCATTGATCATGAATGAAACTGGGTTTCAGTTATCACAGCTGAATTTTAAATATACTGTGGGGAACAGTTATTATAACTTAATTTTAAAATCTATTTAAAATCAGTGTCTGTTAGATATCTGGTGTGATGACTGTGCCATCTGCTCTTCCTGCAGGGCATGTGAGAAGAGAGGGAAAATTAATCAGTTAGCCATCAAAACCACTGAGCAGTACTTGAATGAGGTGCACAAGGACAGCATAAAATTTACCAAAAGGGTATTGGTTTTGAAAGAACAACCTCTTCAGAAGCTCTCAGAAATGCCATCTACCTTGCCTGCTCTAGGCAATTTCATCATGAACACAGAAATCTCAAAGGCTATCACAGGTTCAAGGAGGATAGGATTAATTTAAAGCTAATTAATTAATCAATCTAATCACTTTTAATTCAGGGAGATCCTACTATGTGCAGAGTTGGAACTCCTGGGAACACTTTCCGTTGTTTTAAATATGTAATACCTTTTTAAAAGGTGGAGGGCTTGCATCAAATTTGGCTGTGAAGTGCTGTGCACAGTGTTTGATACTGTAGACATTCTGGGATGGTTTCCCTGTGGCCTTCTGTGCTTTTTCCAGGGCAAAATATGAGCAAGTTCGATGACTGATTTTTCTTTTGTTTTCATGGGGATCAATACAGACAAATCAATAAAGATTACTGGATCTCAAAACACAAATCATAGTATGCCTGAGAGTTACAAGGTGACTGTGTTGTTCTTTACTACCTTTTCATTGCCAGAATGCTCCAATGTTACGCACTTCGGTCAGGACAAATAGTGGTCACAAGAAGAGGAGAGTATCCCCTTGAAATACGTCACCCTACCTTCGGCTTCTGTGTCATTTTCAGTTGCTTGTTTTGCATTGTGCTGTTTGTCTTAAGGAAACTAGTACCCTTGGTGAGTTGGCTTAGGCTTTACTCAAGGTCTGAAGTAACAGGAATTCACACAGATTGTACTTCAGACTTACAAGAGCTATAGCAGCAGCCTGTAGGGAAAGCTTGGAGGTTGACCCTTGATGTATATTTCACTGTGCTGGGAGAAAATAGCAAGTGAGAGAAGAACAGGTGAGATTCATTTCAGACAAATATTGTTACATGAGGGCTGCTCTGTGGCCTCTTTGTAAGTATGCTGTAGAAAAAAGAATTCCCATCCCAAACTTTTTTAAAAACCATGTCAAAAGGAGACTAGCAGTGGCCAAAGCTCCTTTAAGAGTGTATGGGACTGCTGTGGAGCTTGCCTGCTGCTCTAGTGTGAGAAGACACCCTTGGTGGTTGTGATTCTAAGCATATGTGATGTCAAAATAAACAGGTTGCTTTACTCTCTTGGCTTCCTGTCCAGATTTGAGTTGCTGCTCCCTATTTAACCTCTCTGTGAATGTAAGAAAGAGCACTGGAAATTAGATGTTCCTCATTGGAAGTCCTTTCTTATTCCCCAAGTGCCAAGTCTTAGTTGAAACTCCTGCATGTGGAAGGACTGAGGACCCTAGGGAAGGGGGCATGAGGCTGGGAAGGAACAGCATCTGTTAGTGCTCAAAGGATTAGTTGAGGGATATGGGAGGAGATCTTCCTGAATTTCCATCATTTCACAATATCCAAAAGGTTTTCGAGTGTTACGTTTTCTGGTGAGGGGAGGGCGAGAACTGTATTGTGAAACATTTAAATACCTTGACCTATCTCAGAGCTAACAATTCCTAGATTTCTGCAAGCTGAATGGAGAAAAACGGTACTGCAGAGAGGAAAACTGACTGGTAACACTGCTCATGAAGATACTGAGAAGTCAAAACAGCCCTGGGTTAAAGACTGGTGAGTTCTACAGTTGCTGACTTGTAAAATAACATGAACATGGACAAGCAATTATCTTGTGCTCAGACATTGTAAGATAATAAAAAACTAATGGAAGAGTTACTTGAGTTCCACATCACTAACATTTTATGCTAAGTATGTAATTAATAACTCCCAGTTTTAAGCCTTAAGGTTTCAGAGGATTTGGTGGTTTTTCTCCTAAACTGATGTTTAGCAAGAAAGCTCAAAAGACTTCCCTTAACTGTAAAAGGTTGGAAATCAAGTTACACAATGGTCTTTTCTCACCAAGATGATGTTTAATCAAGCAGTGAAATGCAAAAAACCTAACTGCATACTTCCACTTCTGTCTCAGCAAAAGATATCAATACAGAATTTTACCTTTTAAAATAATCTGATATTACAAATGCAATTTGAAATGTCCAACAATTATGCAAATCAGCTTCTATTTTTAAATGTATGTTATGAACAAAAAAGATGGAGAGCAATACTGTGCCTAGATTAAATCACAAGCATGTTTTCTCTGTTTAGCTAGCATTTCTAACTAGATAAATGGAACCTGGTAGAAGCTTGCTGCATGCATGTCAGGATGAAAAATGACTTGGACAATTACTGTAAACTTGTGCTTAAATCTAAAAGGCATTCTTTGAAGTTTTATCATTCCAAATGCTGACCCTGAAAAGCTAAGCCATAAACTTACAAACTGTTACTTAGGCTCTCAGGAATGATCTAATGAATGTCAAGTCAATGAGTTTGTTTGTGTAACAGGCTGATGTACTGGTGGGTTGGTGGCAGTGTGATATAGTCAATCTGCCAGGCCTCCCCATATTTATACTTCAGCCATCGTCCTCCATACCAAAGAAGCTTTAACCGTTTGGCTTGCTTAATCACAGCACGTGTTTCACACTCATGAATAACCTGGGCTATAGTGTCCATTGTTAAGCCCACCCCTCGATCACGAGCCCATCTATATGTTGCATCTCTGCCCTGATGGCCTGAAGTGTCATGGGCCCACGGGGCCAAAAATAATTCACCCTTATGCTGCCAATTTAAGTCCATCTGAGCCACTTCAATCTTAGCCGCTTTATCCACTTGTTGGTTGTTCTGGTGTTCCTCAGTGGCCCGACTCTTGGGTCCATGGGCATCTACATGACGTACCTTCACCACCAGGTTCTGCACCCGGGCAGCAATATCTTTCGACAGTGCAGCAGCCCAGATGGGTTTACCTCTGCGTTGCCAGTTGCTCTGCTTCCATTGCTTCAACCACCCCCACAGGGCACTTGCCACCATCCATGAGTCAGTATAGAGATAAAGTACTGGCCACTTTTCTCGTTCAGCAATGTCCAGGGCCAGCTGGATGGCTTTCACCTCGGCAAACTGACTTGTTTCACCCTCTCCTCCAGCAGTTTCTGTAACATGTTATTTATTGTGCTTCTGTCATTTCCACCAAGTAAATAATTGAGTCTTGGTTTTAGTCTGAACATCATGACAAACGAACTTTCATTTCTTACAAGTGAAAAAAGTGGTGTGATAGCATGAAATGGAAGTATTTAAATTAATTTTCCTGCAGGGTTACCACAGTTAAAGGTTCTCAGATTTTTCTCCTGCACCACTGTGCTTTATTGTCACTGTAGATGAAGCCGATCAAGCTGACCTTGATTCTTTTGAGACTTTCTGAGAACTCTCAGCAAAGGAGTATCAGCAACACTGACAACTGATGAGGACTTTTTAAGAAGATACTGGTTTCATTCCCAGAACATTTCTTAATTGCAAGTAATTAAGTTTGTGATTAAGTTTTAAAAAATAGTTGTTAGGAAGGAAAATAATTTTACTGCATTTTACTGTTTATAAGATTGTTGTCCTAGAGCGAACCTTTGATTTAAATCAGTCTCTTTCCAGAGTCCCTGTAGCCCACACGTCTGAAGTCAAAGCACAGCTTGCGTTGGAGAGACGTTAGTTTCCTTAGTACCTACCTCTCTTCTAGCATTAGCTTGAATGTCTCTGTTGTGCATATGCTTACACGTAGTCTAAGGACAGATTATATATATAGGGTATGTGCTAGAGCTGCTGCACCCTGCTGCGTACCGCGGGTTTCACACTGAGGTGCCAGGCACGGTTGCCCACTCTGCCCTGCGTACCTCCGTGCGGACAGAGGCAAGCCCTTCCATGAACGCGGAGGAGGAGGAGGAAGAGAATACCCCCACTGGGCCCCGCACCTCCTTCTGCCATAAGCCTTCAGCGTGCTCCCCGCCTTAGGCACGGTGCCCTGGCGGGAACACGAGGCCCCCCCGGCTCCGCCCCCGAGCGGAGCCGCGCTCTTATTGGCCCCTGACCTCCTCACGTTTGCATGGGCGGGACCCCCTCCCTGTCCACGCGCCGGGTCCGAGCTGTTGTGAAACGTGAGGGCGGCGCACGTGGGGCCGTTATGTAACGCGCAGGGGGGATAGGGGCGGGGAGGCGGCTGGGCGGTGCGCAGGCGTGCGTGCAGGTGGGCGCGGTGCGCATGCGGAGCCCGCCCGACTGGTTCCGTCCTCTCCTCCCGCCGCGCCCCTCCCCCGGCCAGACGGCGGAGGATCCCGAGCGACAATGAAACAGCAGCAGCAGAGCCCTCAGCCGCAGCCCCCCCAGGCGCAGCCCCTGCCCGCCGCTGGCGGGGGGGTCCCGGCCTTCCTCAGCAAGCTGTGGGCGCTGGTGGGCGAGGCCCCCAGCAACCAGCTCATCACCTGGAGCCAGGTGCGGCGCCTTGCCCGTGTGCGCTGGGGGGGGTGTGTCCGTCGGTCCGTCAGCCCGTGTGTATGTCGTTCTTCCCGCCTTTCTCCGGCGGCAGGCACTTGGGGCCTGCTTGGGACGGGGGGGCAGGAGGGCCTTCCGCGGGGCCCGGGCCTCGGCGGGCGTGGGGCTGGCGGAAGAACCGGGTACGCGCGCTTGGTTTGGCTGGACTCCCCTCAGCCGGTCTGGGGGAGCGGCCCCACCTTCCCCGGCCGCTCTGGGCCGTCGCGGGTTTCCTAGCCCGGGAGGGGCAGTCAGAGGGCGGTTTGCCTCAAACCCTGTCTTGTAGCTGGGGGTAAGTGGGGAGTATGGGCGCCGGTCCAGACTGAGCAGGCCGGCTTCGCCTGGAGGCCGCTGCCTCTGAGCTTGAGGGACTGGGGCATGAGGATAGGGATCCGAGAGCGATTGGGCTTTGCGGAGCGCCGACAAGCAGTTGTTGTTGAGCCGTGGTACGGCAAACACAGGGCCGCGGTGGGGTTTCCAGGGCGGGTTGGCGAGTTCGGGGTGAAGCGGGGGCGGGGAGAGGGGCGCTACGTAACAGCGCCCTGCCCCGGGTGGAGGGGGCCGGTGATGCTGGGAGTGCCAGTCCATCTTGCGCGCGAGGCGGGCGGCAATGGTTCCCCCGCGTGGCACCCGAGACCTCCCGCTCACTGCGGGGAGCGGCCCGCCCCCATTGTTGGCCACGTGGGGCCACGGCTGCCGGTCTTTTGCCCACCTGCTGCGGCGGGCGCCTCACCACCACCCCCCGCCCATCACGGCCGCTGCTGGAGATGGGCAGGGTGCGGGGCAAGTGTCGGTCTGCCTGTTGCACCCCTGTCCTGCTGCCTGCAGGTTAGGCGTGCGTGGTGCCTGTGGCGATGGATGTCCAAATGGAAGACCTGAGATGGATGCCCTCTCGTCTTGAATCCCGTATATTCGGATGTAGAAATAATAAATAAGCATTATCCGAGCACAAGAGTTACAGGCGTCTTAAAACATTGCAAGGCAGGAAGTACTTGGCAGATTTGCTATAGTAAGCATCATTAACTCTTCTGATGAATGCCAAGCAGGAGATTATTTATTTAATTTTTCTATATTTTTGGTGTTTAAAAAATAATTATTAAATAATAAGTAATAAAACAATTATTAAAATACTGAAAACAGTCCTGTCCTCCAACTGCATCTCAAGTGGTGTTGAGATGGCAGCTGTTGTCTGAGCTTATTTTAAATGCTTAAGCAACGATAAAATGCTTTTCTTAAACATTTTACTGGTAATGCATTACCAGTAACTTCAGCCAGAACTTCCTGAAGAAGGAAACAGGTAGACTCGGTAGATTTTGTCTTTGTTTGTTTGTTTGTTTGTTTTTTTCCTGGGCAAGAAATGCTAAAGGCTACATGAAGATTGAGATGTTGTCTAATATAAGAAGTACTGGTTTTGCCACTTGCACTTTCAGTGGAGACTTTCCAAATTAATTGCTTATCCTTATCTCAGGGAAGCAGACCACAGCTATTTGGTATCCTTGTAGTATTTTCTAATTAGAAATTGTCCTGGGTTCAGCAGTAGCAGTCATGTTTCTCCTCCTTGGTAGCTGGTGTAGTGCAGTGTTTTGACTTTCGGCTCGGGAACAGAGCTGATAGAGATGTTTTGGTTTGGCCAAGGACTTTGTGAGCCTCATGCTCTGCCAGGGAGGAGGGGAAGCCGGGAGGAAGCAGAGACAGGACACCTGACCCAAACTGACCAAAGAGGTATTCCATACCACAGCACGTCATGCCCAGGATGTAACTGGGAGTTAGCCGGAAGGGCTGGGAGACTGCAGGGTTGGAGGAGGTATCGGTCAGAGCTTGGTCGGGCTTGGGGGGCGAGTTATCGGTCGGCTGGTGCTGAGGTGTTGTATTCTCTTCCCTTGTTATTTCCTTTATCATTATTATCATTGGTGGTAGCAGTAGTGATTTGTGTTATACCTTAGTTACTAAACTGTTCTTATCTCAACCCGTGGGAGTTGCATTCTTTTCGATTCTCCTCTCCGTCCCTCCGGGAGCAGGGGGAGGGCAAGAAAGGGGGGGGAAAGTGAGCGAACGAATTACCTGACTGGGTTTAAACCACGACAGAAATAAAGACTAATTGGGGTTCTGCAAGGCTGTTTGTGGGAGGAAGATATACTAATCACAGTTGATGTTATTGGCATGCAGTAGTTTGTGTGTGGGGAAGGTATTGGGATCACTTGGTGCACAAGTGACAACTTTTGAAAATGAGCTGCGTCAATATTATGGGTACAGAAAGTGTACCAGTTTAACAGGAAAGGAAGAGTACAGCTACTGTAATATTTCATTTTCCGCCTATGGCAATCCATAAGTTTACTCTATATGGATAAATGCCATCTGCAGCCAAACAGCTGAATTCTGTCACCCTGCAAACATATCTCCATGAAACCATGGTACGTGTTGTCCATGGAAACACATATGAGGAGTACCAAACAAAGTGTTCGGAAGGTTGCTGAATGCTGCAGTCAGTAACACTAGCAGTTGAAAACTGTATTTAGCTCTGTGGTAATGCTTTAGTGAGTTAAAGTCAGGCTTTAATGTCTGTACAGCTTTGCTGTAAACAGCTGCCGGGCCAACAAGAACTAGTAGATGTGTTTCCCAGATTCTTGTGCAGTAGGTCTGAACAATGTCAAAGTGACAGTGAAGTGAGGTACTGCAGATCACTGTAGTACACTTGTTTGAGTATCTTCAGATGGTGGTTTTCAATAATGCATAGGCTAAAATGGCCTGTTCCTGCAATTTTCTTTGCTTCCCTTTTTTCCCTTCCATTGACGTGCTCAGCAGGAGATAGGTAGGCAGGCTTTACTGGGAAGTTTTTGTCTTCATACCCTCTTCTCAGTCTTGAGCTCCTAACTCATGCAGTGGTAAGCCATTTATAAATCCTGTTGCTAATGATCGTTGTTGGTCTGTCAGAAACAAACTCCTGGGCAAGGATCATCACATGGTCTCCTGGTTGGTTGTTTAAGCTTGGGATCATAGAACTGCTGTTGTTTGGGAGTAAGAAACAAATGTGACTCGTTTAACTAGAAAGGGCTTCTAAGAAGATGCAACATCAGTGCTGATATCTGTCAAAGATGGTAGATTTCTCATTAAATACAGGATGAGGGTACTGTGGAGGTACAGGCAGAACCGAAACAATTTTGAAGTGGCTGGTTTGGATTCTGCCATATAGTTGTCCTTTGGTTAATGGAGCACAGTCATTGAAGAACAAAGAGCTGAGGCTTCTGTTTTAGTCTAGGCCTGTGGATGAAATAAAAGATCAGTTCTCCCTCACAATTGGCATCCCAGGAGAAGGGGGATGAAGCCTTGGGTGGTTACCTTTTTGGTGACTCCAAAACCTAACAGACACTCTCAGCTCTTTGACAGCTCCATCCAGTCTACAACTCATTTTGAACTAATCATGCTTTTATACCAGGAAGCAGAGGAGACCTTAGCTGGTTGCTAGTGTTTTTCCTTTCCAGTCTCTTTGTTAGATTACTTCCCAAGTCTTTGAAGCTATGTGCAAAATGTATAGTATTGTCCTCTAGTGAAATTACGGTAGTTGTTGGTAAAAAAGTAATTAATTTCTTGAGGAAGCCATGAGTAACAATAGAGATGTTCCCTTTCATGTATAGATAGGGATTGTAAATTGATAATACTTCCCAGCTGCAGGCTTTGTACGCTTTTTGTTGTGGAAAATAGTAGGCAAGCAGATCAGTTACCTACTGCATGCACAAAGGAAACGTTCCTATCTGATGATTAGTTCTGAAAGCCCAGCATGTTTTCTCCAATGGTCTTTAAATATCTTAATGTGTCTCTCTCATTTTAGAATGGCCAGAGTTTCTTGGTATTGGATGAGCAGAGATTTGCAAAAGAGATTCTTCCCAAGTACTTCAAGCACAACAACATGGCAAGCTTTGTCAGACAATTAAATATGTGTAAGTTCTTGGCTTTTTGCTTTCTACCATAGTTCTAGATCCTGTGCATGCTCAGTTACAGACCGTACCCTTTGAGCAGTGGCCCTGTGTTCTCTGCAACTAGGTTACTGTCTTAACCTCAAAACTGGTAACAGGATAGTTGGAACACTGTAGTTTGAATTTCTTAATGTGGGCTTTGAGAGTTATTTGGGTTTTTTTCTTCTTTTTTTCTTTAAAGATGGCTTCCGTAAAGTTGTTCATGTTGATTCTGGTATTGTCAAACTGGAGCGAGATGGTCCAGTAGAGTTTCAGCACCCATATTTTAAGCAGGGCCGGGAGGACTTGTTGGAACACATTAAAAGGAAGGTTAGTGAAAATTCAGTGGAAAGCTTGTAAGTATTGAATGAGTAGCAAAGTTAATGTCAGCTTTAATAGCAGGATTGTGAGTGCAAATAAGTTTGGAGTTGAGGAAGCAGTCTGCACCGCTCTTATATATATCTTGACTTATTTAAAGATATTTTGGGTGACTTGACTGGTTTCCTTTAACCTTTGCTGTCATTATAGGAAGTTTCACAGGTGGCAAAAATAAGCTAGTTCTGCAAGTACAGCGTTTTACAAATGGGTATTAGAAGGCGTGCAGAGCATGCTTTGACTTTACCATCAGTAATATAACAGTCTGCTTGCTTACGTAGTTTGTTTAAGCCCAAAGCTACAGTAAGCATTAAACTTCGCACCAAATTGGACAGCGGGCAAACTTATAAATGTTTGTTATGCTGCCAGATGTGATTCTGAAATGTGTTCTGCCGTTACTGTGAGTCAGGTAGAGATAATGAATAGAAATGCAGCATTTAAACTGTGGTGAGGGGTGTACTTGTTAACACTGGATTATTGTGAAAGACTTGGGATAAAGTAGATCGCTTAGGAGAATGCCTGGCAAATCTGAATGTGCACAAATGTTTGTAACAACTAAATGTGTTGTGGTGGCAGCTAATGTGGTGGCAGCTGTAAAAAGAAATTTCTGTGTGTTTCTGTTTGTTTTTTTTCTTATTTGATGCTTGGTATATTATTGACTTAAATGCATAGTTTGTCAACACTAAAGGAAAATATACTTGATCACCAAAAGAAAATAGTTAACAATAAGTCAAGGAAAGCATTGTTTCTGGATTCCAATCTTTTAAAGGTTTCTTCTTCGAGACCTGAAGAAAACAAGATACGTCAGGAAGATCTCTCCAAAATAATAAGTAATGCTCAAAAGGTGCAGATTAAACAAGAGACTATTGAATCTCAGTTGTCTGCGTTGAAGAGGTAATTTGCTCCACCAGCAACCAATCCTTAAATTTGAGTAATTATGATAATAGATACCAGCCAAAGACCTAATTTTTAGGTGTCTCTTGATTTTTATTTTTTTTTTTAATTTCCTAACTTTAAATACTGCTTTATAAAAATAAATTTCAATAAAAGCATTGCATTAAAAAATTAATATTCTGATATGGCTAAAAGTAATAGGCAGTGCTGGTGTTTGGAAAACTGTATACTAGTGGGCAATGAAATAACACCTTTAATAGTTCCATAATGGTACTGCGGCTGAATATTCAGCTTGGCTCTTAGCATGAAGTATGCTGGTTTATGTCTTCAGGTTTGAAGTAGTTGTTATGTTTAGTTTGAGGCAGAGTTTGGTTTGTGCAAATTGCTTATGATACTTTCTTACTACAGTTAATGTTTTTGCTCATTGCTTTTTGTTGTTGTCTTCATTCCCCCACTGATAATAGAGGCAGCATAGGATAACCTACCGGTGCATGCATGACTTGAGAGCTTGTTCTGTAAAGATGCTTTCAAGGGGGATGTACAGTTGCTCATAGGTAGCTTGCCATCTAGCAAAAGGTATCTGAGGGAGGACAAGCAGGTTTGATGAAAAATTTGAAGAACAAGCAGTATAGATGAAGAGCTGTTGTTGTTTAGTGGTGAGAGGAAACTGCATTCTTGTGCTCTTTGGACCCTTGCTGCTGGTAGGAACCAGTTTTATGCTTGTTTTTTTATTGTTATTATTTAATCACTAGAATCAAGAAGAAAACTTAACCTTGTTACAAGAAAAAACAAATGCTGACTGTATGTGTAATAAGAATTGCAAATTAGGGAATTAATTGTTATTTTTAAGGGGTTGGAAATTCTCTGCAGGCTATTTATTGTTTGGGTCTCCATTTTGTAATCATTTGCTAAGGTTGCTTACTGTGTGACTTGGTTTTTTTTTCCCTACATGCAATCTAAAAAGACATTTCAAAGAGCTTTAATGAAGCCAGCTAATCTTAACAAAAATTATTAATGTAGATATTCTAAAACTTTTAAACCATTGTTTACAAACAGAGAGAATGAATCCCTGTGGAGGGAAGTAGCAGAACTGCGAGCAAAACACTTGCAACAGCAGCAAGTTATTCGGAAGGTAAGGTTCCATTGAGGCATTGTATGTGAATGTGTGCGTTAGTGCTTCTGAGATAGGAATACTGTGCCACATGTTACCTTGCTTCTCCCTCACTTTTTTTGTAGCATGTGAAATGTCTTTTTAATAGAAAAAAACATCAGGGTGGTGAACAAATCTTTGTGAAACAAACATGCATAAGCAGAAAATAAGGCCAAACTCTTGTAAACATTTTCAGAGGTTCAGGAGTATTGTACATCGTTCATTAAGGTACCCTTAAAATGGTCCATCCACTTTGTTACTTCAGAAGTCGAATGACTAATGTTCTGTGTTGGATGATCATTGAGTGGAACCCACTGATAGTATATTGGCTTACCTTAATGGAACAGATTTATAATCTGCCAAGACTGATGTGAATGCAAAGAGTTCCATACTTTTTTTTTTTTTTACGTATCAAAAATAAATAACCACTGAAAGCAGCCTTGTAGGAGAGACTCTTACTGATTACTATTTCCGGTTTGTTCAAGCCAGATACGTACATTTAATCCTTAAATTGAAAACATAAGGGAAGAAAGTCTAACATTTCAAAAGAAAAGGCAGCTGATCTTGATAATCTGAGAGAAGCAAATACAGGGTAGAGTGACTAACAGTAGTGGTTTGTATCTTACAGATTGTACAATTTATTGTTACCTTGGTGCAGAATAACCAATTAGTGAGCCTGAAACGCAAGAGGTAAATATGGTCTTAAAAATTTGCTGTCCAGTCCATACACTGACACGTTTTGTGGACTGAAACCAAGGACTTAGTTTTGAGGTGACTTTCTTCCTATACTCTTTCTGATTTAGGCCTCTACTTCTGAACACTAATGGACCTACAAAGTCGAGTGTGTTTCAACAAATCGTGAAAGAACCAGCTGACAGTAACCATCATGTAAGTATTCTTTTATGCATATTGTTTGTTAAGATGAAGGAACTAGTGGAGGGGCAGACTGATCAAGCAGCTTGTTTTATGGGGAATAAAACATAGCTGTGTACTGAGAGCTGTCAACTTCTCCAAGTGGTACACTGTGTTGTGTTTCCTTCAGAAGCCAAGTGTGTTGAAAGTCACCATTCACTTTTCAATATAAGCATGTATAAGCCAGTTACCTGTGTGTTAAATGCAGCTTGATGTGATCCTTCTGAAAGCAGTCTGCTTTTAATAATAGAGTTATTAGAAATAACATATGTATGTTGTATTTGTATTTCTGGAAGTTAGGCACCTGTAGCCCTATGCAGGGACAAGGATCCAGTGTGCTGCTCTGCAAGGCAGCATCCAACCTAGCAAAATCATGTCAAGTCCCTGTGCCATTTGAATGTATCGTGTCACTGAAAGTTATTTTCTGCTGTCCAAATAATGGTTGGTGGGGAAATTCTTAAAATGAGGGCTGGAGCATGAAACTAGAATTAATAGCTTAAACCAAAGTGTTATTTAAACAGCAGCCACTTTTTAATATTTTTTGTTCTTGCGTAGTCCTGTTGTCACAGCTTTTTGTTGCTTTTGCTGACAGTGCTAGGATATTTTTGTTTCTGTGGCTGCAGTATTTATGAAACATTGTTTTCCTGTAGCTGCTATTTTTCATCTTGTTCATTTTTTTTGTATGGTTTCTTGATTAAATGTAGATCTGTACAAACAGCATATAATCTTTGAGGTGTAGGACAGCTTTTACAATTTAAAATTGAGGCATTGTAAGATACAATGGTAACTGCCAGAATGCTGAAGCTCTTTGTCTTTCTATCCCCTGACACTCTTTAAAATAATTCTCAGGTACCTCTCAACAGAAATGAGGGCTTAAAACAAAGGGAACAGATTTCAGATGACATCATTATTTATGATGTCACTGAGGATGTGGGAGATGAAGAAAATCCTGTGGGTGATGAAGAAAATCCCATGGCTGATGAAGAAAATATTCCCACTGCACCAGAAGCAAATGAAGATTCCACTTCTAATTCTTCAAAGTAAGAAGTCTCTAGAACTGTATATAGATCAGTGGCTTTCAGTGTTGTGGAATATGGAATAATTCAGATGTCTTAGATTTTTTTTTTTAAGTAATAGTCAGAATTATTCAACACTCCTGCACGTATGGAAGCTTAACCTGTGAATTCACACTAGGTTCTGATCTACTTACTTCTGGATTTGTTCGAAACAGTTAATTGGCTGTTGGAGTTTTAATATGCAGAGGATAGAAACTAGTGAGAAGCAGTCTGTATTATTGTATTCTGTTGTTAAATATAGTACTTCTCCAAAGACAGAGTAAGTGGTGTCTTCAGACTTTTGGTTATGAATACAGTCAGGAATGACTTCCCAGGGTTTTACAGCATGTGCTGTTTGTCAAATGTTGCTGTGGTCTTTGAACTTTATTAAGCCAGTTAATTTCAGGGTTTTTTTTTCTAGGATTCCTAGATGACTGGGATTTCCTGTTCAAGCTTGCTGTGAAATTAGTCAATCCCAAGTGTTTTGTGACTGTGTTCCTTCCTGTCTGTAGTTAGTACTATAGTACTAGACCTAGTACTATAGAAGTAATTTCTCTTTCAATTCTGAGCATTTGAATCTTGGTCCATGGATTGGCTTGCAGCTCTCTTCCTGAGTTGCATGGTATTGATAGCACCTGTTTTATGCCTTAAGGAATAAAACTTAGCTATTTGGACAGATTGAAGTACCTCCCGTATGAAGATAGGCTGAGAAAGTTGGGGCTGTTCAGCCTGGAGAAGAGAAGGCTGCGTGGAGACCTCATAGCAGCCTTCCAGTATCTGAAGGGGGCCTACAAGGATGCTGGGGATGGACTCTTCATTAGGGACTGTAGTGATAGGACAAGGGGTAATGGGTTCAAACTAAAACAGGGGAAGTTTAGTTTAGATATAAGGAGGAAGTTCTTTGCTGTAAGGGTGGTGAGGCACTGGAATGGTTTGCCCAGGGAGGTTGTGAATGCTCCATCCCTGGCAGTGTTCAAGGCCAGGTTGGACAAAGCCTTGGATGAGATGGTTTAGTGTGAGATGTCCCTGCCCATGGCAGGGGGGTTGGAACTTGATGATCTTAAGGTCCTTTCAAACCCTAACTATTCTATGATCCTATATTTCCATCTTACAGAATCATAGAATATATGAACTATACTTGAACTGGTACGATTGTTTTTGTTCAGCTGATACCTGGGAATGCATTCCCTAGTAGAAAAGTTTTATGAAGATAAGGCTCTGGTATAGAAGACAGCACAACTAACAGCTACTTAAGGGTTAAGAAAACCAGAATATGGATAAAAGCAAATTACTTGAGACACTTAGTTTTTAGGTTGCCTTCCTGGTGTACATAAGAAAAGTACTGTTGACTGATGCTCCAGAGTTGATTCTGTACAAAAGGAAAAATGCATTGAATGCATTATCTGTCTAGTTTGTGGCCTAATACGTTTAGGTCCACTTCATACTTACTTTATATGCAAGCTTATAGTTGTTCTAATGTGAAAAATACCAGTGTTCTTCTGTCTTTTTACTAGTTGTTACTGTGGTTTAGCACACCAGTGTCTGCTAGCTGAGCTGCATTAACAGTGTTGAGCACTACAGCCCCATATCAATGGAAAATAGATATTTGGAGTATCTTGCCAAGTTCTGTATTAAAAAGTAGTAGGAAGGTTGATTTCCTTAAAGTGGTTTGACTAAAGTGGGAAGTAACTAAACCTGTAGAATACTCCCAGTTTAATGAGTGTATGAAGGGCTTTAATTAATTTGTCTCACATTACAGCTGTAGTCATTCTCCTGATATTGTAATTGTGGAAGATGATAATGAAGAAGAATATGCTCCTGTAATTCAAGGGGATAAAAGCACAGAATCAGTTGCTGTCCCAGCTAATGATCCACTCAGCCCTGTCGGTGACAGCACAAGCCCACTCATGTCAAGTGCTGTACAGCTGAATAACCAGTCAACATTAACTGCAGAAGATTCTGTCTCAATGATGGATTCCATACTCAGTGAGAACGGAGTCATTTCACAGAATATAAATCTCCTTGGAAAGTGAGTAGCCTGGTCTTTTTGAGGTTTTTTCCAAGTATTAGAAATGATTGTTTGACTTGAAGTAAGAAGATCTGAGTAGTAGTTCCTGTTGAGAACTTTTGTTTACAGGTCACCTTTATTCTATCCAGCTTATAAAGATCTTCATACTTTTAAGACGAGACCTTTAATTTTCATTGTGAAGTGAGTTAGGGTACATAATCTGACAGTGTAATGTTGTGAATGTCATTTTGTTAACTGTCAGCATTTGTCTGTGTAACTCTTGGAGGCAGTGGGACTCATTAGGGCTAGCTGGGTGCAAGAATCGCGTCTCTGCTAATGTCATGGCATAGTGTTATGGTGTTGTGATACCTGTTTTGGAGCACCTGTCTGCTTTTCTTGGGTTGAAGAGGCTAAAAGTTTTTCTTTCCAAAGGTTGTTTCTAATGAAAGACTTGGCTCATTATAGTTCTGGTGAAGAATTTTAGATGCACGTAGTATATCTGTGTAAAGCGTAAGTGTGGATTTCTCCTTCTTTTGTTAAGGGATATGAATAAAATATAATTTGTCTTCTAGGGTTGAACTTCTGGATTATCTTGACAGCATCGACTGCAGTTTAGAGGACTTCCAAGCTATGCTATCAGGACGACAGTTCAGCATAGATCCAGATCTCCTGGTTGAGGTACTCTTCACTGGTTAAGTATTTTGGTGGTACACCACCAAAAATATTTGTGTGGGTTGTTACTGTTTAAAATGGATTTAAAACAACAGATTATCCTTTCTTCCCTTTAAGAAAGGAAAGTTAGAAGTATTTGTGAGCGTGTTTCTGCGGCACTGGTATAATTTTGCGTGCTGCACTACTGGTCAAGTGAATGTTTAATGTTTTGATTGAAGAATGGCTTTCTTAATGTATTAATGCTTATATTTCTTGCTGCATGAACTCAGACACCAATTAGATAAATACTTTTGCTTTGAAATAACCCAGCACATCATCTGTGGGCTTCTCAATGAGCTGGTGTTAAAAAGGTTCTTGGCATTTATTTTACAAGTTTGTTTGCCATTTCACAGTATTTCTTAGGAGCATGTTCTCAGTTTCTCTTCAGATTTATGTCTATTAGAATGGTCTAGGTTGGAAGGGACCTATGCATGTCATGTAGGCCAGCCCCTTTGATCAGAGCAGGGTCAGCTTGAAAGCTGGTCATGTTCCTCAGGACCTTGTCTCAAATTCTGAAATCTCAGAAGATGGGAGATTCTTGGGTGCCTGTTCGAGTGCTTGACTGTTCTTTGTGAAGGATTTCCTTAAGTCAGTCACAGTTTTCCCTGCTGCAGCTTGTAGCTCTTGCCTTTTGTCCTTTGTCCACCTCTGTGGAGTTTGTCTTCTCCATAACACCTCTTCGGAGGCAGTGGAAGAGTACAGTTGTTCTCCTTTGTCTGCCTTCCTCAGAGAAGATTAGCCAAGCTCCCTCAGCCTCTTGGATGTCACATGGCCCTCTGGACTCCCTCTAATTTGAAAACTCTTGTACTGGGAGGCCAAAACCTGGGCACTCTTCCACAGGTGGCCTCACATGCTGAGCAGCAGGAAATGGTAATTTGGCCCTCCTGGCTGTGGTTTGCCTGTAGCAGAGCGTGTCTCACTGTAGCAAGGCCATGCTGCTGGCTCATGGTGGGGTCTTGCCTACTGTGACTCCCTGCTACCCTCTCCGAGGGGCTGCTCCCTCTCTGTTCCCTGACTTGGTGCATGAGGTTATGGTGTCCTAAATGCGCTTGGCTTTTGAACCTTATGGCCCTTCTGCTTTGCTGAGATCCCTCTTGACAGCAGCTCTACTCTCCCATGTACAGATGACTCTCTCCCTTTTGGTTTCACTTGAAGACTTGATCAGGGTATGTTCTTCCTTATCCGCAGAGTTCTCTGGGCAGAAACATAAGAAGGAAGTGGTATTTTAACACTGCAGCAAACCATGTTAGACTAAGTAGACACAATGTGGTTGTTTCCTTTGTGACTGAGGTTCATGTAATTCCAAACCATTGTGCTCCAAAACAAGGTTTTCTCTACAAAAGTGATAACTGCCTTTAAATAAACTTTAATCCTGATGGAGAGTGAAAACGGCAAGTACAGGGATTATTCTCACACATGCCAACATGATGTTCATGTATTTTTAATAGCAACACTGAGATACCTAAAACTTGATGTGTTTTGTCTTATTCAGCTTTTCACAAGCTCCGTGCAGATGAATCCCACAGATCATATCAATAATATCAAAGTAAGTCTGAAATCCATTGCTCGATGTGCACAGCAGCGAGTGATGCAAACTTCATTCATCCTTTACTGTTTTCTTTACTGGTATAACAGTACCTTTTTCATGATCTGGCTTTGGAAGCTTCCATGCAAATAGGAAGGCTGCAGCTGAACTCGTCCTGTTAGGTTTTAAACAGAAAAGGGAAACGTACACCCATAAATAACATCCTTCAGAACTTGATGGCCTTGAGGTCAAATGCCCATTTGTTGTACCAGTCTCTTGATTTCTGTATTCTGTAAGAGTTTAGTACTTGCAAACATAGTACCCGCTTTGTCAGAATGTTTTCATCTGTATTGTCTGGTGGGAAAAGAAATGAGCAAGCAGCGGAGCGAAGATCTCGCTCTTTGAACTTGCCCTGTTTGTTTATGAGCATTACTCTTGGCTCTTTGTTGAGCAAGCCAGTGCTTCCATTTCACATTTTCTCAGTCTGTGAGTATGGGTAACGGATACCACTGCATCCCTTCGCGAATAAAAATGTTTTGTAAGAACTGGTCAGCTGTGTCCTAGTGGCATTGGAACAGGTTTCAGCATGTGTTTAAAATTTTGCTCTGTTTTCCAGATGGAGACAAAGGAAATAGAAACTACCAAGAATAATGCTGGTCCTACGGCTTCACATGAGACACAAGTTTCTAAGCCCAAATCAGGTCAGTTGTAGTGCTGTGTTAAAACAGTTTAATGGTTGAACAAGCATTGTTCTAAATACCATCTCAGTTATTTGCTCTTTGTCTGGTTTTGTGGCATGCTGATAGGCAAATAACCAAAATACCTACCATGTTTGGGTTTGGTTTTTTTTTTGGCACAGCACCAGGTGCAGAGAACCTGGGGGTTTTGCAGGAGAATCTGAACAAATAATGTTATGCATGAACATAACAATCCTTTAATTACTCATTTAAAACTAACACAATGGTTTTTATTAATTATTCTTCAGATCAGTTCTGTGGGTTCGGTTTTGTTTGCACACAGAAAGGCACGTGAACTGATGATGCTTTGGGATTTTTTTTTCTCCTTAGATAAACAGCTCATACAGTACACAGCATTTCCACTCCTTGCATTCCTTGATGGGAACCCAGGCTCCACCATTGAGAGTGGGAGCTCTGCTGTGGAAACTCCTTCCTGTGTTGACAAACCCCTTGAAGTGGATGAGCTGCTGGAGAGCAGCCTCGATCCTCAGCCCACCCAGAGCAAACTGGTGCGGCTGGAGCCATTGACAGAGGCAGAAGCAAGTGAAGCCACGCTGTTCTATCTATGCGAACTTGCCCCGGCACCCATGGACACAGACATGCCCTTCTTGGATAACTGATGCAACGGGGACTCTTTATATAGCCATGAACTATTTATTTAGAATATTGTTTGGTATATGAGTTTTTTGTAAATCACTGTTTTATGTAACCAGGTAACGTGGAATCCAAAATACTTTTCCTATGTTACTTCCTACAAGCAACTGTTTAACTGTGTGGTTAGAACAGCTGTGAGGCACGGTTGGCAATACCAAGTTAAGACTTGCTGTACTGCTGTGAAATACTTGGTATTACACATATTGCTAAGTATCCGGGTAACTGCAAACTTGTTGATAGTAAGCTTTATGATTTCTTATACTTCTGGTCGTACATACGATGATGTAAACTAGTAGTGTATGGTTAGAGAACACTGACTTTCTGTATTTTGGTTTTTTTTTTTTCTATTTTTTACAACATTTTAACAAACATATGGCTTTTTGGGGGTGGGGGGGACCAGGACCTGATGTAGGCTTTTTTTTTCCCTGCTTGAACTGGGAACAAAGTGCCTGTACCTTGCAAAATCTTGGTTCTGCCTTACTTTCACTTCAGCAGAAGTGCTCACACATAGCACAAACCGGGGAAAAGTTCTTCACAGCCACCAGGCCCCTTGACTGCATGAGTACTTTTATCTTGGACCATCTATGCTGGTAAAATAAATGTTACTTAAGTAAGTAATTAGTGTGACACTTGTTACGAGTTGTCTCTTACTCCATGTAGCAGATGGATCTAACAGCCCTTGTTCTTCCTGCCCAAGTAGCTGTGCAGTGAGGTCTGCCTCCATGCATGTTTATTGGAAAATAGTTTCATTGTCTTCAGCCTTCAAGGTTTATTTATATACCTCCAACACAAGTGGCTAATGCAGCAAACTGGTTTTGTGTGGTAGTACACAAAAGGCTGTTCTCTCCTTTGTTTTCTGAGAGCCACAGCTTTCCTTCCAGCTGAAGAGCTCCGGAGCAGAAGTGTTTCTGTCAGTCACTGAAGTCTTCTACCTTTATTCAGATGAAGGTGCTGGGAGCTGCATTACATGGCTACATGCCAGAGGAGTCACTAATGACTAGTGAAGGTGCTGCCAACATACTTAACTAAGCCTTGTCACCCTGAGTTCCTGATTCAGTGTAAGCAGGAAGTTACACTGCTTGTGAAGATGAAAGTTTCCTTCTTTCTCTGCCCTCAAAGCTGTAGCTGGGGAGGTCTGAGGAGCTCCAGTGTGCAAGATATTCCAGAGAAGGGAGAAACTGGATTTAGTAACTTAACAGGATATATTCCACAATTCTGGCACTGCAGTCAAGATTTCCAGTTTTTATATGCCCCCTCTCCAAGGAAGCTGAAGCTATAGGCCCAGCCATCTGTTGATCTTCCCAGTTAACAGCCTAGTTACTGCAGGATTCAAGAACTGCTGTGGTAGAACCAATGTTCAGGGGTTTCATCCACCACCCCCACTTAACACACCCAGCACATATGCAACAGAAGGGACAGGTAGCAGGTGAAGTAGTTACAAGTGTTGTATGCTCATGTTTTCAGAGATGGCAGCAAAAGAGCCCACAGGGAGGAACTGCCTGAGAGCTTGGCACTGGGGTTTGATGTGACCTGTTGTGGTTTAAACCCAGCCAGACAACTTGCTCAACTGACTTCCCCCCCCCTTCTTGCCCTACCCCTACTCCCGGAGGGACGGAGAGGAAAATCAAAAAGAATGCAGCTCCCCTGGGTTGAGATGGTAAGAACAGTTTAGTAACTAAGGTATAACACAGATCAATACTGCTACCACCAATAATAATGATAAAGGAAATAACAAGGGAAGAGAATATATCACCTCACCACCAGCCAACCGATAACTCCCCCCCCCCCCAGCCTGACCAAGCACTGACCAATACTTCCTCCAACCCTGCAGCCTACCAGCCCTTCTGGCTAATTCCCAGTTACATCGTGGGCATGACGTGCTGTGGTATGGAATACCTCTTTGGTCAGTTTGGGTCAGGTGTCCTGTCTCTGCTTCCTCCTGGCTTCCCCTCCTCCCTGGCAGAGCATGAGGCTCACAAAGTCCTTGGCCAAACCAAAACATCGCTATCAGCTCTGTTCCCAGGCCAAAAGTCAAAACACAGCACTGCACCAGCTACCAGGAAGGAGAAAAATGACTGCTACTGCTGAACCCAGGACACCTCCCCCAAGAGCTTAGCAGTACCTGCCCTGTATGCAGGTGTATACTGCAGTGCTGCTGCTGTGACATCTGTGATGACAAGGGCCATAAAACACTCCCTGGGAACAGAAGATGAGAATACGGCACAAAACCACACACAGTTCACATCCTGCAGTAATATGAGACATCAAGCCACCGGATATCTTCATCCAAATTTATTTATTAATAAGTTAACAACATATTCCAAATTATTACAAGCCTTTACTTAATCCTTCCATTACAATCTCAAGTTTGTCTGAGATTTCAGACTCCTGCTGTAACTGTCAGTGTTCAGGTGCAGAATTAAAAGCTTAGAGAATAATTGGCAACAGGGAGTATAACCACCACAGTAACATGATGCCTGCTGAAGGCCCTGGATCACCCCCAGCCAGGTTGCTCCAGCCTCAAGTTGCAGCAAGTAACAGAAATACTGAGAAATACTTCAGTTACAAAGCAGCAAGCACAAAAGCATTTAAGGTTTTGTAACCGCACAGGAACTATACGGTATTTTAATCAAATGGATTAATAGCTCATGCCTAGATCTAGACTCCCTATGCTCAAGTCCATCTCTGGCAACAAACAACAAGCAAAATACCTAATACATTAAAAGATTTCAAAATTTAGAGCTGCAAATACATGAAGAGACACTTACTGAAGCCTCAGTTAATACGAACCTCCTTCAGCTACTGCAATTTCAGCACCCCTTTTCCCCTGCTTCTTTTTTAGTTTAACCACAATACTCAAAAATGCCTCTAAAGGGCTCACACAGTTTTCACCACTCTGCTCCTTGCAAACTCTTGTGATTGTAGCTTAGCCAAGAAAGCGGCACACAAAACAGCAATAAATTACAGCACAGCTATCCCGTTTAAACTACTTTAAAAAATAGTAATAATACATAGATGCACGTTGTAAACAGATGCCTTAAAAATGAGCTTCTAAGCATGTGATACCAGGACCCTTCTCAACAGGGCATCTGCCCTCTGCTCTGCAAGGGCACACATCAGACCCAGCAGCACGCAGGAGGGGAGGACATCAGCTCCTCTGTAGCTTCAAGTGCAAGTTCCCTCATTTACCATCTCTGCTAAAGGTACTGCTGCCCTTGGGACAGACAAGGGTCAGGCTGCCGGTGCCAAAATGCTGCTGCAGGATGCCCACTAACCCCCCACATGCACCACTTTAACAATGCTTACTCAAGACTTGCTTTGGAATCAAGGCAACAGGGATAATCAAAGGCAGCCTCTCCTTTGCTGCCACAGCCTGATCTAACACTGGTTTGTTAGCCTAATTAACAACACTTGCACTTTTTTTTTCCTACAACTACTTAATGCAATTGAGATGGACAAAAAAAACACCACCACCCTACTTTCAAAGGGTCTTGATCTTACATCTAATGCTCCCAAAGCACTTGATCTAGGAGTAATCCTATGAAAACCATCGTGACAGCAATTGTCACTGAGCTCAGCTAGAAAAAGTCATCTAGTGAAATGACAAAAAACGTGATTCAAGGTACTCATGCAGAATAAAGCAGGGTATCCTATATGGACAGCACATGCGTGCACACACACATATTTACAACTGCACTACTATCTGGAATACTGTTTGTCTCAAAGACACTGTGAATAAAGCTAACAGAGTCTCCCCAGAGAGCAGCATGGCTTAGTCAAAGTCACGGTTTGTGAGGACCAGTGGAGCAACCAGGGTCCACACATACAGCACAATGCCGATCCAGCTGGAAGATATCTTCACCCAGACAGATGGCCATTTGCTGGTCATGGTTTCGTAAGAAGAATCCGGACTGTGAAAGAAGGAAAAGAAAAGTGAAGATCTGCAATCTTTGTTTGGACATTTAGTACACCACACTTCAGCTCTGTTTGCACAGTAGGTCATTTCCACTTAAGCTCCACACCTCCAAGGACACTTCTACCCTTCTTCCAGGCAGTTCCCAACAATGTTTACAAGAATGCCAGGAGTATGTTGGTGTCACAGGAAAGTGGAAAGCAACAGCACCCCAAAAAACAGTAAGAGAAGCTGTCAAGCAGCAGAAATAATTACATGGAATCTCTGAGGAAGTCTGTGGAAAGGAAGGGAATGGAAAACATTTACAGATACAAATAATGGATTTCACCTTGCTAAAAGACAACATCTAGAAGAATTACTACTCTTGATGTCATATTGACCCACACAAAGCACACAGTAGGACCATCTACTAAGAGTCACTTTTAAGAGAACACCTGTCCTTTAACATGATAAATTTATATTTTCTGAACTCTGAAGAGCATCTGTTCAAGCTGTTAACATAAAAACAATTCCCACTCAGGAGGACTGTTCTATTGTGAGAATTTTTTCAGGAGCAGACAACCATATTTCCTTCCACCAGATCCCACCACAGAATGGCTGAAGTTGGAAGGGACCTGTGGAGGTCACCCAACTCCCTTGCCCAAGCAGGGCCACCTACATCCTGCAAACCAGAACTGTGCCCAGATGGATTTTCAACATCACCAAGGATGGAAGCTCCACAATCTCCCTGGGCAGCCTGTGCAGTGCTTAGTCACCCTTGCAGTGATAAAATGCTTCCTGATGTTCAGAGGGAAGCTCCTGTGTTTCAGTTTCTGTCCCATGCCTTTGGGCACCACTGAAAAGAGCCTGTCTCTGTCCTCTTTGCACTCTCCCTTCAGCACTTATACATAGGGATAAGATCCCCGAGCCTTCTCCAGGCTGAACAGTCCCAGCTCTCTCAGTCTCTCATTGTATGAGAGATGCTTCTGTCCCATCATCATCTTGTGGCCCTTTGCTGGACTCTCTCCAGTATGCCCATGCTTCTGTTGTATAGGGGAGCCCAGAACTGGTCCCAGGACTCCAGGAGTAGCCTCACCAGTGCTGAGCAGAGGTAAGGATCACCTCTCTCTCAACCTGCTGATATTAACATGTCCCATCTCTCCTTTTTCCAGCTCTCTGTACCAGACATGGGCCTGGTGGTTACTTATCTGTAGTTGTTACAGAATTTAAGACTCTATTCTGCTCATTTCAGCAGGAAGTATTCCAGCAGTCCAGTGAATCATAACAATTACTCTAGAAAATATAAGAAAGCACTTGTGAACAAGGCTAGCTACTCCCAGTCTTCAAATACAACTCATTTAATATAGATCAAACAGTATACTTCCCTTGAGAAGTCCCATTCCAGACCTACGTTCCTCACAGCACACAACTTACCTCCTTGTCCAGCAAAAGATGGCATCTGTTGTGAATTAAGTTTAGTTATCTGAACTCCTTTAACTGAGTTCTTTTGAATGGGTGCTTTTGCTTACCATTAGTAGTTGCTTAGCACGGGAAGCTGAAGTTACTAAAGCCTTAGGCCACAAGCAGGTAACTCCCACCTAGATAAAGCTGAACTTAATTTACAATCTGCACTTGTTTAGTTATGTAAACAAAGGCCTTGAGACCCTTACAAATTGGAAGATAAAGGAACTGCATCTGTTAGCAAAGAGTGACAACTGGAGAGATAAGAAAAGGATAAGAAGAGGCTCAGAAAGAACCCAATAACCGACAGAAGAACCTAGACCAAAATTCGCCATTGGACCAAGAAGCATGTGCAAGGAACGTGCTTGCTTGAACAATGTGATGGTCCGGTGCATAGAATGCAAGAGTACAAAACCCCAGGAATCTCTGTTCTGGGTCCCGTACCGGAGGCACACAGCTCCAGCCGCTCCTACTCCTGTACCACTCAGTTACATTATTTATCTAAGAATCAGATGACAGAGACTCTGCTGTGGGAAACCTGGGGGTCAAGAATTTTCCTTAACAGCATCTTGTATGATTATTACTATTATTAGAAAAGCATGTTATCAAATGTAAATACCTGTACCAGTTGGTAAGTGTCATCATGATATACAGTGATGCCAGGAAAAGCATGAAATGAAAGAAGGAGTAACTGTAAGTAACTCCATCCCTCTCATTATCTATGGCTCTGTGAACATCATCTCCATCATCAAGGGAGCTGTCACTCCTGGGCATTCCATCCTCTATCAGTGTTGATTCATCGCTGGTCAGCATCAGCTTGTTCACTTGGCTGTTGTTGGATGTTCGGATGCTGCATTTGACACGAAAGGACACAGTACAGTTACCCAAATACAATTTAGTGTCTGGCAATGAGAAGTAATACAAGTTAACAGGAATTTTTATTTTATTTTTTTTAAAAAAGCTTACCTTGAATAGAGAACACAGAGCAAAAACAAAACCAGTCCTACAATTCCTTGTGCATCCCACCACTGAACTACCTGACCTTCAGTTGGAATGGTGGTGCTATTGTAACCAATGATGCTCAGCAAACTTGGGTTACAGCGCCTGTCTGTGGGAGATACTACGTTAGGACTTCAGTACATTTCCACATCGAATGCATGGTAATAGAAAGGAACTGTGACAGTCTTGAGTTAAAAAATAACCTTTAAATCTGATTTTAACCTACTGAGTCTCTCTAAAGCAGGCAAATGAAAGTATGTGACATAAAAATCTGTCTCTCCAAGCAGATAAACGGATTTTAAACTTATATAAGATATGCATCAACTGCATTACTGTTTCATCTCATAATTAGATACCACAACATAAAAACACTCTGCATATTGAGCTTTACAAATTTTACCATTAGAAAACAAGTTTGACAACAATATACTCTGTAGATGGGGTACCAGAGTCATCTCAGAGTTGGAAAATAACGCTTCGAAGTCAGATTCATATTACCAACTGTTCCCAATCCACCGCCTCCACAGATAACATGGATGAAACAGCTGAGAACGGCAGACCATCCTATTTCTCCATAATTACTGCAGGAATTAGATATGACTCATATGTACTATTACACAGAAGCAGAGAAGATTGTCCATCATTAAAGACGAAAGGGCTAGAGACCCAATTAAAAACACCAACAATCAATATTTGACAGCTTATTTTAACGACCAGAATTTCTGCATTTTTTTTAATCTTTTTTTTTAGAGATGCTCTGCTGTTTTCAGACGCAAGCAGCACTGAAAACATTTATTAATACATTATTTAAAATCCTCTGTTTGGAAAAATATTATCAGTAGCATCTCAGTCACCAGAAAGAAACTTGAAACTGGGTGGGGAGATGAACCTTCCAGACACCTGGGAAGAGCTGTGGGAACTTGCAACATCTAACCTTTAGAATACGGCAGTCCTGCCAGTAAGAAATCAAAATTTTTCCATATGATAAACATAAGAGCAAGTGAAAAACACATTACTTTGGAAGAACTATTTCTTCAGTATGATTACAGAAAGTTGGGGAGGGGGAAGAGAACACTAAGTAATGACTCCTGCCTCTACCTTACACGCATGGTAGTAGCCCATTCAAATACTGCCCTGCAAAATGGTGAAAATACAATCTACTGCCAAACTGGTTACCCAAAAAAACATACACTGCTCCTATACTTACCTGGTTCATTGGTCATAGCTGACCAAGTCAAATACATGGTATAAACTGTGATCACAGAAGACTGCAGCAAACCAGATCTTGGCTGAGATTCCTATGCAAAGTAGTCATGGAACAGCAAAGTTAGGCAATTACAATTCTCAGGCACAATTATATATTTTGTTATATATAATAGGTGCCTGGGACTAATAATAAGACTCCCAACCCCCCCACCCCCCCCCCCAAAAAAAAAACACCAAACAAACCAAACAAAAAAAAAAAAAACAAAAGGCAAAAAAATACCCCAAACAAATCTAGTAGATAAAAGAATTAAAACTATACCTGAATCTTCGGCAGAATTGACATGACAGAAGCACCAATACACAGCAGCATATTAACACTGATAAATGCCTTGTTTTCAGAACAGCCTTCCGGATGAGTGTAATAAACATAAAACAAGACAATAGCTACCAGAGACAGCAGGTAATTGACAGCTGTAGCTGACAGCAGTGCTGTGAAGAGACACAAAAAGAGTTAAGCTGCTTAATAATGGAAAGTATTAGAATTGAAGTAGTATTACATGACTCTCAGGTTTTGGATATGGCATACAATCACAATTAGACAGCAGCTCTGGGCACTGAAGCACAAAGGAAGTAAGTTTTCAATACTCTGATGTGTTAAAAAGAAAGAACACAATAAATGGGAAGCCTGAAGCCATACTAGATTCTCTGGTGCTCAAAGAGCAACCAAGAGCAGCAAGTGTGAAGGAACAAAGTTCTATTACACACACTCTGGCTAAAAGCTTAAAAAAGAAATTGAAGAACTACTTCTCCAATAGAAAGAAAACCAAATGTTATTTCCAAATTCCATCTTGCTAAAAACATTAAACAGCAAAACAGCCACTGCACAAAGACAGGCCGTGCTGTCTTTTGAAATACCTAAATTATCACATCTGAAATGATTTATTAAAATTAACATGTATTTTCTTTACTATCTCAGCCTTTCACTCAGCATGTACATTTGAAGAATGTCCGACTGGCAGACAGAAAGTAAAAAACAATTATTTGAGATATTTATGCTCCACATGAAGCAGTAAGAGGCCAGTTTGGTTTTAATCAGTGCTAAGGTATAACAAAAGTTATGGCTGAAAAAAAGAAAAGACAAAAAAAAACCAAAACACCTACAAATGCCACTTCTTTGCTATCACGAACTGAAACTCTGCTCCCAGAAATTAGATCTTATTACTGATAGATTGTTGCCCCTCTCCCTTGCCCCCCTTATTTAACTTGACATCAAAAGGACAGCACAACAGAGCTGAACTACACCATCTGAGAAAGTGATACTTATGCACGACGTAGCCCTTCTGCACTCTTGTAAAATGCACTGCTTGGTGAATAACTGATTTAATATAATGCACAACTAAATCTAAAACTTGCTTGTGGTCCAGTCCTTTACCTGCATACCAGCATCTTGAGTTCCCTTCCTCCATTTTTTCAACCCAAGATTCATTCCAGGAGTGGGCAAAGTCAATAAGCAAGACCAGTTGAATAAGAATAAAGCAGAATGCTCCAGCCATACCTACATAAAACCACACTAGAAGAGAAAGAAAACAAGAAGAACCACAGATATGTCTCTAAACAAATAAAAGTGCTATAGTTAAGACAGCTACAATTAAAGCTCTAAGACATCAGCATGCACTTAGTTTAACTTTAAACCCATTTATGATGGCACCATGATACGGCAAAAGAAAATATTCCCTTACCAGTTGTAAATGGTCCCTCGGGTATGAAGAAAGCTCCAACACTAATTGCAAGTGCTGTTGCAAATTTGAAGAACCAGAATCTAAAGTGAAATTAAAAAAAGTAAGGCCACTGCTGAAGTCTAATCTAATTCACCAGAACTTGAAAGTAACAAAATACGCATCTTTAAGAATGAGTGAATTAAAGCCCCCAACTCTTAAGTCTTTTGAAGTAGGTTATAAATCTCTTCTTACCTGCCCAAGATTTTTGTTCTTATTATGCTTGAACTGTGCTAGACTGACATACAATTTGGCACATTTCCCAGGGATATCTCATTCGCGTATTACAAATTAAGCCAGGGTGAAGATAACTGAGAGGATTTATGTTTGGATGTTTGTTTTTTTTTTAAGAAGGTTTCTACCTAGCACAGTGACATCACTGAGCCGCCTGCATATCAGAAAAACAGGTTAAAAATCCCTACCTGTTTTTAATATCAAACCAAAAAGTCAGAAGATCTGTTCGGTTCCCACAATGACAGACAACATTATGCTGGAGTTCCCTACCAGTCTCAATTCACTTCCTACATGGAAGAGATGTACAAAACCCTGGATTCAGACTTTTTAGGCCTACACCTGCTGAGGTTTAACCACAGCAACAAAAGCAAAGGATTTATCTTTCACAGAATAGACACAAACAAACTAAGTCCCCATTCCAGGGCAGTAGCATTGGATTTTATTTTTTTCTAGTAGAAGATAGAGTCTTGGACAAACAAAACAGATCAGATGTTTCCTAGAAAACAGACAAGGAAGTATCTTCCACTAAAGATTTACTAAACTCTCCCCAAATACAGACAGTGTACAAATACACCCTGCATAGTAAACTTCTAATCAAAAAGTTACACCAACAAAACTACAAGAAGCTGAAGATGATTTTTTCTGATCACAGTGGCAGGCAGCTCCAAATATAGGCACAGTATCATCTACATGTACTTCAAAACTGAATATAACACAAAGACAAGTACCACACTCCACAATGGATGGTTTTCCAGTTTTCTATCCCTGCCCATCTTTCCTCATACTTTGAGCAAGTGGAATCTGTCCTTCCGGCTGTTACAATCAGGGGATGGTGACCAGAGAAACACATTCCAGTTGTGTGGAGAGGAACTATGTGAGATGACTGAGTGAAGAATGTAGGGGAAATGGACTAATTCACTGGGACACAGAGAAGTGACTAAACCCACTTTGAAGGCTGAATTAACAACATTCATGGTGTAGCATATGCCTCACTAAAATTAGGTTTTGAATCCATATATTTTTTTGAATTCTCATTCTCAACTGTAGAAATCGGAACATGTTCAACTTTGATTAAATCTAATCTCTAATTTCCAGACTTTTTAAAGTGATCTTAACACTCTACCCATATAATGTGTGACAGCTGAAAGCACTTCTCATCTGAACCACCACCTACATTCTGTATGAATTCTGTGCAAGCCAGCAACAACCCTGTGAATACATTATAACTGATTTTTTTCTATTAACCCAAGGCTGGAAACCATTCTGAGTACTGCCATTAAAGCCAAGGCAGCAAGAACTGGCACCAGACCACATAACTAGGCTTAACTTGCACATGAGTATGGAAAAGTTAGTACATATATATGGGAAAACCCAATATTCTGAACATTTCAAATCACTGGCAGAAAGATGACATCATGAAGTATTACAGAAGATACATACAATTTCAAAAATCAAAAGCCATGGTTTTCATCAAGCTACCTGTATTGGAGCAACCAGTTATTACAGAAGTGTTGGAAGTAACATTATTAAGTATTGTACCAGTAACAAGTATTGTTTTTCCCTCTACCCTGGTGCTGACACTAGACTGGCTAAGAGTAAACTGCTACAGGTTGCATAAATAGTACCAACATTTGTACTGGATAGCACAACCCCATACAAGGACATCAAAAAAATCCCAAACACTTAAGAAGCACTTTCAGGTTTAAAAAAACAAAACAAAACAAACAAACAAAAAACCCACCCCAAAGTGTTGCTGTAGAATGTACCTGAACTATTTTCTTGCATGTACCAAGTATGCCCTTCTGAACAAAGCAGGGTGGAGGGAAAGGCTGATCTGAGTTACTGCTGCTAATGCATCTTAATATTGTACCCAGCCTCTTTTTTAAGACCGAAACAAACAAAAGAAGCAAACAAAGCAATACTCTTCTCAGTCTTATTTTCCTTTCCCCTACAGCAATCATTTGAAGATTTTTCTCATTTCATGCTAGAAATGTTTAATCTTATTACACTGATTTTCATTTTTATGGCTTAGCTGTTCATAGCTTCCATTAAATATAATAATTTTGAAAAAGTAGTCTAAGCAATCACTGTGACCACCAAGACTAGGTACCATAAATAATTTTATACTTTTTAGTGCTATTCCCTATTACAGTTATTTACATCTCCTTGGTTCAAGAAGCTATGTTACACATAAGCTGAGCCTGGACAAAAACTACCACTTATGTCAATTCCACTCATCTTCCATCTGATAATTCTAACTATAATGCAATACAAAGAATAATTTCTGAGCTTCCCAGTAAATTTAATACATAACTCATACTTCTTTATGCAGAGGGAAGAATGAAGAAAAGATAACAGAGGGGGAAGAGATATGTTATGTATCTATATAGAAACATACATAAATTGTTATAAGTTTCAAAACAAAACTGTTCAGAAAAGTGCAAGCCTTTACAAACATCAAAGTTAGGAGTGTAATTCCTCTTACAGATGGACAGATGAGGCTTTTTAATCTTTCAATTTGTTGAAAAAATCTCAGTGGAATGAAACTTAGTACCATCATTCATCTCTGAATTTTGTCATATTTGGACAAAAGCAGAACCTCTGATCTTGGAAAACCTCAGGACAGATTATCCATTGTCAAAATGGATCTTTTCCTCTTACAAAAATTAATCTGCCATGCCTAAGAACTTTGAGTGCCCTCTACTGCAACATCACTCCTCTAGCTACTATGCCACTCTGTTTGTGGAACAGTATATTTGACTAGTGTGCTTGGCCACAGACTTTATTTCCACAGTAGCTTTATCTCATATGCACATACTGCTCATGTCTGTATCTTACCCATTGTGCACCGCTGCTCTTGGGTCATTGCTGCTCTTCACTTTGATCATCAATAAGGAGAAGAGGAGGAAGAACATGGCCATACCAAAGCACACACGGTACACAGCTTTGTAACCAACTAGTACATCACAATTCACATGGCCGTACACACCAGGAATAGTTGTTCCCATACCTCCATCACAAAATCCAGGAATCTGTGATAAATACAAGACACTTCAGTCATCTGTAAAAGGCCTCCTGCGAGTATGTATTACTGCTTTATTAATATACCATTAATGAGTATTTTAACGTTATGCAACTATCATCGTCAGAAAATATAATACTGAAGGGCTGTACTGTTATTTACAGTCTAACTAGAATATTAAAAACATTTAAGGAAAAAAAAATCCCACATAGGCAAATTCTACACAAAACCAAGTCTAATTAACGGGGGGTGTGTGTCTTGATATTAGCAATTTCAGAACTTCTCATGGAAATGCAGTTTTCACTTGCTGATCTGAATCAGAAGATAAATAAAAGATCTGGAATTTAATAAATTTGATTTGACAGCTACTATCAGGTAGCTAGGAGAAGGCAGCCTGCTTACTTCTCTTTAAAACAGAAAGAGCCTCCCCGTCAAAAAAGCAACATCAGTTAGAAGTATCTGTAACCTCCATACAAAACAGCTGAGAATATCCTTTCCAGTCACTACCAGGACATGAACAACATCTTTCTGAAGTCAAATCATACTCCAGAAGGATTAGTTTTCTTTCCTAGGTGACTAACATGGCTCTCACAGAAACTCTAATCACTACACCACACCAAAATAACCATTTACAGATTAATCATTTCAGGGGAAGAAAATCAAAAGCATGTCTAACAGAAGTTCGTATCACCTACAAACAAAATAAAAACAGCAAATCAAACACTAACAGAAACAAAGCACATGCATTCCAAGCTCAGTGAACTTATATGCACTCCCATAACTCAAATTATCACTCAGTAATTTTACATGCACTATCATATCTGCATATAACTAATAAACTGTAAAATCCTATAAGCACTTCCTCATTTCCTTAGTGAAAAATATGCTACTATCGTTAGTGAAAAGTATTTTTGTTATGCATTTACACACTTTAAAACAGAATTTTAATCAGTATAGCAGAATGAAACTACTGTGGTTATTTTTTGATTTTATTAACAGCAACCAAAACCAATCAAGTGCCACAAATACAAGCATGTTGATAATGTATAATTTAAAACTCCATATACATAAACTACATTTTCTTGTTTGAGACAAGATTTTGTTTTTTTCTCCTCTGAGCTGTTAAGGAAGAGGTGCAACTTTATCTCTAAATAGTACTTCTCATCCATGCAGTGATGGTCCCATGAGTTCTTTGTTTATATGATCTACAATCAAATTAACGGTGACTGTGAAGCACAGGTGGCAGCTCAATGACCTATTTCCAAATAAAACTCACACTTTCAAGATGTCATTTACTACTATCTATGACATTTGTTCTACCACACATGTTAGCAAAGAAGCAACCTGACCTTCTTCAGCTGCTCTTCCATGCCTGGTATTAACATCACACAGGCAACGCTCACGCCGAGAAGTAAAAAGAATGCATATATGAGCCGAGTTATGGTGGAGTTGTTTCCACTGGGGCAGCATCGGCAGAGCAGGCATGGAGCACTTCCACATAAACATGGTATCTGACAGAAACAGAACATACAACAAACTCTTTAAAAACGTTTGCACCGCTAGATTTCAATATTTAATCAGGCTGTGCAGATCATCAGCAGTTATGATGGAAAATTACTCATCCTGTGCATTCCATCACTAGTGCAGGCTAAGTCACTGTAACACATTTACAGAGCCCCCTCACAATCTTGGAAGCACTTCCTAATGCACCACTGTACAGTGAAATTAGTGCTATGTCAGAAGTAATCATTTATCCATTCACAGGAAATAAAGACTGGATTCAGGCTCATTTGTTCTCTTGAATTTTATTTAATTTCAGCTAAATGAGATGCAAGGATTGCTTTTAGTTAACAATTCCATCCTCCCTTCCACAGCTGCAGAGATTAAACAAATACTCCAGAAAAAAAAAAATATTTGAGCACAACTGCCACCTACAACAAACATGTCCAGTATCTGGCCAAGCTGGGCCACAATCCTCACTGGTGAGGATTCATAAACATCACCCTGACATAGATACCAGACAGCAGCAGAACCCAGCTTCTGCCCCAGCTCATCCACAGGACACCTCCACCATGTGACAAAAGCCATAGGTGCTAATCACAGCAGTGAAGACACCCAGTCAGTCACATCAAAACATGACTAGTTACACAGCCACATGACCAGTGCATGTCAATCATGCAGCATGACTGGCATGTGTCAGAACAAGTTCTTAAAGATTTAGTCATATGACAATTAAAAAGGCCAGTAGTGTGCCGCTACCAGGAAGGGCCCAGGGCTTACAGGAAGAGCAGACAAACTGTCACAACACTCCCAGCAGCCTCCGCAGAAGCCCTCAGGAAAAGGCACAGATGATGCGTTCTTACAGGTTCAACCAGACTCACACACTTGAGGTCTTTTAAATAATTTCCTTGCATTCTTTTTGTACTTGTGTTCCTCTCTGAGGATGGAGGAGCCAAGAATCTCCACTTGCTTTGCTACAGAATCATCTTTAAATAAGCAAACTTCAGTACTGAATTTGTCTTGCTAAAAAAGTGAAACTAGGCAGATTCTCATTATAACTATTTCAATATGTAAAAGATATTATGTTGACATTTTTTTACTTCCTCCTCCACTCAGTATCATTATAGCACAAAGAGTACGAGCATGCTGATTCCAGGAGAGGAATTTTACAATGCAACAACTTCCCCAAGGAGGTGGCAGAGTTCATGACAAGGTTTTCAAGATGAGATTGAACATGGTGCTTGCTCATCTTATCAAGGCTCCCTTTCCCATAGAAGGTTGGATCAGATGATCCTTTGAGGCTGTTCTGTAACTGCAAGCAACTACATTAGGGCACCTATGTTTAGTACGCAAGAAATGTATGGCAAATATTGGCTTAGGATACATAAGGATTTTATAGTACTATATGTATTCCAACAGTTCCTCAACACACACAAATAACCCTTCTAGTGAAGAGTATTTCTATTCTCTATTCAAAAAACTTACTTTCTTGAACGAATTCTTTCTACATTAATATTTTTAAAGATCCTGTTGAATAAAAGGCTGAGTTTGGCGGAGTAGAATATAACCTTTAGGGTCATCTGCTGCAGAAAACTTGGTGCAAGGACTCCCTGGTATACAAGCCACTTCTCTTCTGAATCCCAGTTGTAAACTGTTTGTTAAGCGTTTAAATAATTCAAGCAACTTCCTCCCAAATGCACACAGAGGAATGTGTGTTTTGAGAGACATGGGAGGTTTGCAGTGGATGAAATAAAGATGACTGTCTCCACCTCACTGGGTGACAACATGCCTTGAACGAGGCAATACAACTCATGTAAGTGTCTGAGCTCCAACAACAGCTTCCAAAACATTTTGCCACCAAGAAGCTTATCCTTACAAGCTGAGACCATGCACATGAACAAGAGACACCTATTGATTACTGATACTATTTATACAAGTTGGCCACTTCTACAAGGAAACATGGTATAGTCCAAGTCCCTCTTTCTTTAGGCAAAAAAGAACAAAATACATACCATTCCAATCAAATGTCATCATACTACTGGCAAAACCACTTCTAACAGACTTCCAAAAGAACAGAAAGCAAAGAACATTCAGCCCATAGAAGCGAGTTTATCAGCAGAGAGGACAAGGACAGTTTGTGCTGCTTTCTTCCTGAATTCCATACCTCCTACCAAGAATCCTACAGTACAAAAAGTAAGATACTACCACAGAAATCAAAGCTTAACTCCCCAGGTGAGACTCAGCTTAGTCACAGATGCGCACAAAGAGTTACCCTGCAATTAGCTTTGAGATTGTTTTGTAAGGAAGCTCAGACAACAGTTACTAAGTCACAACCACCATCCAGTAACATTTGTACCTACCAACTCATTTTTCCCCAAAACGCACAGGGATACAAGGAGCTCAGTGGTGTTTGCTAAGGCAAAAATAATAAAAAATGACCCACACACCTATTCTGGGAGCAGCCAGCTGGGCAGACAAGTTAATTCATGCCTGCTAAACTAGTCACTTCATTCTCTCTGGGAATTGCAGGAGGAACATATAACAAGATGAATACTGTAGAAAAAGAGAAATGCCAACAAAACCACTAAAAATCAAGTGTTACTGCCCCGAGGTACACAGAACAGGGTTTTAGTATCAAATATAATCTTCTTACTGGGGTAATGACTACATGATTATATACTGAATTAAGTATTCACAAAAAAACTAAGCCCTCCCCCGCTGAGCCTAGTCAGGTTTTAGCTACATCATCCCTACAATGTGCTTAAAAGAACCAATTTAGTCAAGATCTTTGCTTTGCTAAAGAATATTAAAGTGAGTAGAACAGCAGCTGAGCTATTCCAGAGAACAGAGCAAGAGAGGCACGACCCAGCAGCGTGAAAATGGCACTGTCTGACCAATCAGGATCAGAAGACTTCTAGTGAGATGACAGTGCTCTTAAGGCCTTTCCCCCATCCCACTACCCATCTCTGGTATGCTCATATGTGCTCTTAAAAGCACTGAACTGAAGCACTGCCTGCTCAGCACAGAGCAGGGCAGAGCTATAACCAGCACTAACACCACACAAAAAAAAAAAATCCCAGAATAAAGGGTATGAGGCCAGATGCCAAGGTCAGGTACTCAGAGCAGCTCTGCATGCCACAACACGTGGCCTTGCAAAAGCTACACAGCTGAAGCAAGAGCAATAGCAGCATCTTCTCAGACAAAAGCAGAGCAGTTCTACTGGCCATGGACAGTCCACACTAGCACAACCTCTGCTCCTTCTAGTTCCCCCGCTGCCTCACCCTCACAATTTGCTTTGCTTTCTGCATCCCAAATGGCACTTTACTGACATAGCCTTAGAGACCAGTGCAGACAGACTTCTGTAAAAACTATCATACACAAGGTTTTTATGTACTGCTTAGCTGTGGTATTAAGTGTGGAAAGAAACCCCAATTTGCTTGGGCATTTTAAAAGAAGGTATTACCCACTGTAAATCTTGACTTAATCAAGATTACATACTCATGTAAATCATTCTGGCTAAAAGACTACTACATGTATTTCTCTGTACAGAAGCAAACACTCAAAACTAAGAGCAAGTAAACCGAGATTCTTCATGCAACTACAAACACCAGCCAGTTATCAGAAATGGCCATTTATGCACTAGAAAATGCAGCATATACTAACTCAAGTATGTGAATTAAAACCTACAGTCATACTGTCACTTTGTATTTGACAATAATTAAAAATGCTAACGTTAACTATATTCAGCTAGTAATTAAAAGTCTAACTGGCTAATCCATTAAGTAGCATTTTAAATGTTAATTAAAGCAAAATGAACACTGACAGTACTTCCTTAATGGGATATTATCAGTGTTCTAGTCACCTATTACATGCATATCAGCCAGGAAGCTTAGCTCATACAAATTTACCCATCACTTAACAGAATTCAGACAGGAGACTAAGGAGTTAAGTATCATCTCTGTAATTAAATATCACTCTATACTACGGGAACCAAAATCCATATATTTTGGCAGCACAAATACTGAGGTTTGAATCAGTATGAGGCTTTGTTAGACCAGTATGTAGGAACTGTTTGAATACGCATAATTTCATTTAATCCAGGTATAGTACAATATTTTTGATTTGGTAAATTCAGGTTTTCACAATTGCACTGACATTCCCAAGACAGAACTCTGAAGATTCATAATCCACCTGACTGCATCTACACAGGCACTAGAGTTGGAATGACCTGTCATCACTTAAGGATCAAAGAGCAACGCCTCAAATGAGGACTGCTATGCAGGATCTCTTTCAACTTCTGTGCTGTTCTGCACAGTGCAAACAATTTAAAACCACATCGGAACTACTGTTTCCCATTAAGAAAAATCACCTGACGATGCTCAGCATGGTGGCGACACATTAGCACACACTACTGAGCACTGCGAAAATGATGGCTCAGTAAGACAAAGATACTATGAAGGGTGGAGCTGCTCAAGACAAAGCCGTAAAAAAGAGGCATTAAATGCAATCACTAGGATCAGGGAAACATACATGGTTTATTTTTCCGTAAAGAAACACCAAATTCTTAAGCATTTAATTAGATTTTGACTCCTTTATACGTTTGGTGAGAGGGAGCTCAGTGGACAGTGACACCTCCCACACCGTTAGGCGAATCAAGCAGCGACCAGCAGCGCTGCAGGCCGGCCTGTCTGGTGAAGTACGAAGCTCCTCACTCGGCTTTGGCGGATCCCTGAAAAAGCCCAACGGGGGAGGGAACCACCGCGATCTTGTCTGTCAGTCCGTCCGTCCCCGTCCCCGTCCCCCCCCCCATTCTTTGGGCCCGCCTTCCCCAGCCTGCGCTGAACGAGCCCTGCCCCAGCGGAGCGGCTGCCACACGGGGCGGGAAGGGGGAGAGCGCCCACGGCCCACGCTGGAGGAGGCGGGAAGGCAGCGCCACAGACGCGCCCGCCCCTGGAAGACAAAGGCCCGGTGAGGCGACGGGCGAGGCACGGGACGAGGAGGGAGAGAAGGAGCAGCACCGGCCGCCTGCCTGGGGCCTGCGATGGGCACGGAGATGCAGGGAACCGCCGCACCGCCCGCCAGCCCCCGCCTTACCCAGCTCGCCATGGAGCAGAGGCCCAGGACGCCGCCCATGGTGGCGGCGAGCTCCGGCGCCTCAAAGATGGAAGCACGACGGCAAATATCTCTCGACAAGGTTGTTTACCGCTCCCAGAAGCGCTTCCTGCTGCGCTGACGCAGCGCCAACGTCACTTCCGGAGGAGGAAGGGAGGTGGTGATGGTGGGGCGGGGCCTGAGCTGCTCCGCGGGGTCGCGCAGCCGGAGCGCCCCCAACAGGCGGGCACCAGCCTCCGTGCCCTCGTTGCGCTTGGGTTACCGGTCATGGGGATGAGGTGGTTGAGCCGCTCCCGTGCTTTCCACGAGTACCCAAAGCCGGCGCTTCCCGGCACCTCCCGAAATCGGCTGATGGGCTGGAGATGGGTGAGGGGCTGAGGTCTCCCCTACCTGAGTGGTGCTAGCGGGCATTACGGACTGCATCCCATATAAAATGTATAAAACCATGCAGGACTGCCATGGTGGTGCTAAATAGAAGGTGAACACAGTCCAAAACCGAAAATAGTCAAAAAAAAAAAAGTATACCTAAAAAATCTTTAAAAAACAATCAGTAATCATGGAACAGAAAATGTACACTTTATATAATTATATATTTTATCTGTTTATATTATAGACACAGTAATACCAAGGATACTGGCTCAGCTGAAAAACAAAACCATTTCATATGTCAAATGTGTTTTAAAACCCCAAAAGCAAGCACCTGAGAAAGATAAATAATTGAGGTTTTAAATAAAATACTTAGAAGTGTGAGGCAGAACATTTCATATGGAGTTTTATAGTACCATTTTACAAATTAAGAAACATCTTTGACTCACAAGTTTCTCTCCTTGCTAACATATGCAGTGATTGCAGTACTACATACTGAGCTGCTGCTCAGATTGGACTTCTCTATGAATATAGATAAATCTATCGTTTATAATTGATTTTAAGGGCAATCCTCTTTCCAAAATCAAACATGAAAAGAAAAGGCTAAGAAGGTACTTTTGGAGGCTGTAGGTTTAAGGCTTAGACTATTATCTAGTGATAAAAAAGGGAATGGGAATAATTAACAAGAGAGCAATAGTTACTAGCTTGAAAGGTAGGTGCACAGAATTAGTGGGCACTGAATGCTGAACTGAAATAAAAAGTCAGTGTGCCTGTCCTTACCAAACATTAAGAAAGCTTTGGAAAGTTCCTATAAAAACATTGCTGAAATGGAAGTCCTCAAGCATGGGAGGTGGGATCAACTGTTGCTTAGGGTGCACCTGCTTCTTGGATAAATAGTCTACTCACCACTGGCCCTGGCTATTGCTGATAAGCACCTCTTTGTACTGCACCAAGACTGCAGACTAGCTATGATCAGAGCATGACGCCTGAGCCTAATCCTGAGCCATCTTCTCTTACAAGACTCACTCTAGGGTAATGGGACCTTCCACCTCCATAAGAGAGGTGGATTTGCACCTGTGGCAAGGAGGAGAAAAGACAGGGAGAGGAAGGCAGTGGGTGCTACTCTGTCCTGCGCTGTAAGGCTGGGTTTGGCAGTGAGCAAGAATTTAAACCTTCTCTATGTGTCCTGTGGAGGAGGACAATGGGAGGGCAGGGGTGGGAGAAAATGTTGGAGTCCCTTTAGTTTGGCCAGTAGATCCACAATAGTAGTTCTTAATGATCACTTCTGTTTGCGCACTAAGTTAAGCTAATAATGGGTGTTGTGTTCATCTTCTACATAGCACCACCTGATAGCCAGAAGGTCCTGGAGGCTCAACGTCAGCTCACAGCTAACACCGTGACTTGCTTTGTGTGATGAATTCATAGTCTCTCAAAAAAGGAGTCTGTTGCCTCTCATTTTGAAGCCCTTTATCTTTTCTAAATACAGGTTTTCATTAGTTACTGATCTGCTCTGCTTCTGTATTCCCACAATCATCAGTGTGCTCTTTTTCCTTACAAGAGCTTCTGATAGCCAAGGCAGACTATTTCTGTCCAGACCAACCTGATCTCTTTTCTTTCCAAATATGAAATCACATCACTGTTCTCTGATGTTTCTTTATTTCTGCTGTCTTATTTGGAGCATTTACTGTGGAAAGATACTGAATCATCACATACACTTCACTGAACCAAGTCCTCCTCCTTCATCACACATCTTTTCTAAGAAATTGTAAGAGAGAAAAGATCTGCTACAGGAATTTTGTTTCTGGAATTCTGTTTCACTTTCAACTCACACAGCTTGCTCAACAGTTTTAAATCATATTGTGAAATCTCAGTTTTGTAGAAACTAGCAGTTTCTCAATGTTGTTCTTTGAGAATTTGGAAGCCTGTTTTGGCTGTTCTTATGCTGCTATGGAAATGGTTAGGACTTTGCTTACCTTCAGCTATGATGGTACATACTTCACTGTGCACCAGAGTTTCTTTTAGCTAGATGCTGTCAGTCCCCTTGCCACTTGAAAAGCCTCTTGCAACATTGCTAGGTTTGGATGCTTTATTTTCACTGTGGTACTTCAGTTTTATTCAGTTTGAAGGGGCGGGGAGGAATCCTTCATACCCAGATATGTGTCTCGGACGGCTTCCCCAGTGTGATCTCCTGCTTCCCTGTAAGCCTCTTGAGTTTGTATGGATATGAGAAGCAGAGCTGTCCGTTTTTTGGGTAGCATTCTGAATTTTCATTTTTAGAAAATAACAGGGCTCAAAAAACTGAAGTAACTTTTTTTTTTCACATCTCGTTTATGTTAGGGAGCTTTTTACTAAAAACTATCTTTCTGTCAAATGCTTACTGGAAAATGAGGATTTTTCCAGACTGGAGACCATTGTCAGTTCCATGGTCTGCACAAGAAACTTCCATCAGCCTCTGCAGCGAACACTGGATCTGCAAAGCCCAGAGATACATCATGGGGGATCCCACACCATTCAGCCAACACGGCTATACTCACTTAAACCTCCATCAGAAAAGCTCTGGTGACCATTTTGTCTCCTAAAGTTGTTTCCACTGAGAGGAAGGGTGAGCTAGGGAGAACAAGATACACCAAACAGGCTTATGCTTTAGGTAAGGCTTTTCTGAATCCGCACTTTTCTGTTAGTGATTCAACACTCTGGTACACAGCGTCAGAGAGAGAATCCTGGAAATTGCTTTGGACAGGAGGTGGACGAGTTGCCTGGTGCCTGCCTCACCCTGAGGGAGCCTGCCCTTTGTGCTGTGAATTCCTGTCCTCAGTAACTGAGTTACCATTCATTGCGTTTGCTTTTTTGAAGGAACAAACAAGTAGGAGGCTGGAAGCACAATGTAAATACTGCACTGCCTGGCATACACAGAATAAACCCTGCAGCTTGCAGGAGACACCAGGTATTCATACAGTGACCATGTGCGTAATGTGTGCACCATAAGCCCAGCAGTTCTGCATATAGCCAGGCAGTGCCCATGTACGTGTTAGGAGCGTGCACCACGTAAGCAGGAGTTAAAACATTTTGGGAAAAGTGTTGACCCTGACGTGTTTTCTGCCCATCTCCAGTTGTTCAGATACCATGAGCACGTTTCTTTGGGACCTAGGGCACTGCTTTGCGAAGCACTCAGCACTACGGTACAACAGCATCAGACCTTTCACCATGGATAGACTACAAATCTCAGACAAATACATCTCCAGGCCTTCCCAGACAAGACTTTCCAAGCACACAAACACAGATGAGAACATGTGTAAGGGAATAAAAGGACAAATAAAAGGTGGCTGTAAGGGGGCCTCTCTCATCTTTGTGCTACAATGCCAAAATCATGCCAAGCATTATCATGAAATTCGAAGGAAACAAAATGTTCAGCCTTCAAAACTGAGGAAGACTTGTTCTGTCTACATGGATGTGGAGCTGTATGTGAAAATCATCTCCTCCAGAGGGCAGTGCAATTTAAAGAATGGAAATGTCTCGCTGCTGGTGTATAAATGGAAATCGGCAATTTGAAGATGTATTTTTATCTCAACAATGTTAACAGAAAAATAGTCTACAGAGATGTATTTTCTGGAATAATTCTGTGTACACAGTATGACTCTATATTTCACTTGCTTTAAGCCATATATAAGTGAAGTCTACAAAAATCCCCTTGTTTCTCCCTTGATCCTCTAAATGAAAAGTAATATAGAAATAATGTCTGTGATAAAAGATTATAGTATCCATGGTTATATCTCTATTGTGAGAGAAAAGTGGAGCACAAAACACTAAAATTCCTGTTTCTGATGGATTGTGCAAAGACTCAGAGATAGCTGAAATTAAATGGAATTCAGAAGCCATCTTTTTTAAGAACTGACCTAGATGTAAATCTAATACTGAGTCTAATAAATAGGTAGGACTATAGAATAAATGTTTATCTTTATCTTAGTCTTACAAGGTGGCTTTTTTTTATTCCAACAATACCCATTTATGTAGATCAAAATCAAGTAATGCAATGGATTTAAATGGTAAAGCATTAATATGTATGTTTATGAAATTATATTTTGTCATCTCAAAAAATTACATTACTGAGTAGAAATTGATTAACAATGTACATTTTTCTTTTTTATAAATATATATGAATTTTTTTTTTTTCTTTACATAAGTGTGCATAGTCTGGAACTGGTTTACACAGGCACAGTTGTGAAGCAAAGAACAAAATTAATCATCAGATTGTTCCATTCATGACATCAGAAGATTAGATACAGATTGTTATTAACATTCCTGTTAAGCCCCATCACAATCATTGCAAGTGAGAGAGAAAAACTAATTTCTACTTCTGTTACTGTTATTGTTTGCTTGGAAAGATGCTCATCAAGCATAAATTAACAAGACAGTTCCACATCACTACGTAATGCTCTGTGTTCTTAACAGGAAAATACACAAATACTTGGAATAAAATCAACTCCCTTCAATTTGTGTAGCAGAGTATAGTTCAGTGTTTCTAAATAATTGGCATTTTGGAGACTGCTGCTAGCATTATAGCAGTGTGAGTTGGGTACCATTAAAACACAATACTGACAACTTTCAGTCTATTTCCGTCTTATCAAGTGGTCCATCCATGAGAAGCTTTGTGTTTGTATTATTTGTCCTGGGGATAAGTCTAAAGAAACTTGTGGAATACACCAATTAATTATTCTACACCCCCGCCCCCAAT